GAGACCAGGGCAATCTTTCTTTTTTTTTTTTTCATTTATTTTTATTAGTTGGAGGCTAATTACTTTACATCATTACAGAAGTTTTTGTCATACATTGAAATGAATTAGCCATGGATTTACATGTATTCCCCATCCCGGTCCCCCCTCCCACCTCCCTCTCCACCCGATCCAGGGCAGTCTTTCTTGGGGGTTCTCTGGCTTTCAGTTTATTCAGTTGGGAGCCCTGGGCACTGTGGCAAAGTAGGAGGACAGGAGGGAGCTGAAGGTTTCACACCCAAATCTATACCCTTAGGACTTAACTCTGGCATATTTCACAGAGAGAAAAAGGGTAACACATATGTTACTTCTACCCATTTTACTTGTTTTCTACAGAACCGGTCTATTTGTAAAGCAGTATTATACTTAAAAGACCCTCCAACTGGCCACTGTTCGCCGTCCTCCAGTGGGTTCTGCAGACATGCAGTATCACATAGGAAGGCCAGGTGTGTCTTCTTTAAGCCCTGGGGATCAATCTATCCCAGTTTTCCAGGATACAGTTTAAAGGAGTGAGGCTGGAATTGATAACTCCCATCAGTAAAAGAATAAAAAAGCGACCAGCACCATCTTTCTACCGGAGGCATCCGTCCCTGCTCTAGGTGGGGGTGTAGACCGACTTTACATCAAAGCTTTCCTTTTTTGGTCAGACTTAGTCTGTCCTTTACTGACGCAGATGCCGTACTCGTCCCTCCAGGTTCTACCACCGAGACAGGGTGGGGATGCACCAGGGGTAGACCTGATGGCATCCCTGACTGTCGTCCAGCTCCTCACCATTGAGAAAACTTGCTTGCCTCTGATGCCACCGGGGGTGCAATCAGTAACCTTCTGGAATGCCTCACAAGCTAAGACCGCTGGGGGAAACATTCATCACCTGAGTTCCTGTGCACGACCCTGAGTAAATTCCTGACCACAGTGAGACTGGTATGAACATAAAGCTGAGGTGTTCCTTCCAAGCGTCACCACTCCAGTATAAGAGCCTCCTCTGGTCTCCTAAGAGCCAGCGTTACCAAAGGAAAAACAGACAAACAAACAAACAACCCATTGTAGTTCCAAACTGAGTAACCTTTAGCTTCAGAGATTCTCTTGGACCTAGAGTTTCATCTAGCTTCTGAACTCTCGATTTTTAGTGAGGCTAGGCGCTTCCTGACTACCAGTCTAAGATTGGAACCTAAGTAACAGTACACAGTAACAGCATAGGTTTTGAGTCCCTTGGAAGTCTATGATCTGACAGATAGGTTAGTATTTCTCATTTCCAAGGAACTGTGAAATGGTCAAAGAGAATGAAAAGTTTAACCAAGAAAGAGAGTTCGATCCACACACTTTGTCCATTTGTGATTGGTTCCGAAAGGAGACATTGGGTGTCTTCGGCATTGCCAGGTCGGTATAAACCCCCAACAGGGTTTTGCCGTAAGCCGAATGAGGTCACCACAGAACTGCAGAGCAGGGCTCCTCATTTGCTTCACGCAGGGTGTTTCATTCATTTACACAAGCACACCGTAGAGTTAGTAAAGTACAGCAGAAAACATGTCCGCTAGGAGAACTAGAGGTCCAAGCATCTTTACGTTGGCCTGAAGAATCCCAGTAGTTTGGGCTGAGTTGCAAAACTGCTTCAGAATCAGATAGAAAATGCAATTTCAATTATCGGAAATAAATACAATATACCTTGACAATATAATAGGTAAGCTAAACTGTTTACAAAGGGTCATTGTATGTCATACTGCCTTAAAATTTATGATTTTAAGGCACCATCGAGAATTTTTATGCAGATTTAATACATTTTAGTCTATGCTGATTTATTTAGATTAGAAAGTGTTATGATTTCTAGTTTTGTGGGTAGCTTCTCAGTAACATTGCTTGTGTAATCATATGTACTAGTACGTATAATATATCAGCAACTTCATTTTTTAGTTTGAACTATTTCTGTTACATATATTTTGTTCCTTTTTTTTTCTTTTGGAAAAGTTACAGTGACATAAAAATAAATTTACTTAAATTTACAAAATGCATTATAGGAGCCAGAAAACTGATGCCTCTCACTTTGGCCTGTACAGACAGGACTGGAGATTGAAATGCTATGAGGAACTGATACTCTTTGGGAAGACTCAGCTTATGCTCTTATCTATCATTCGTGTTTATGTGATAAGTGTATTCAGCTACTCATGCATTCTGATGTTTGTTTCACAGTAAGAACTACCTAGTCAAATACCTTACCTTTATGACCAAGAAAAACAAGGATCAGACTTGTGATATTTGTTATAAAATGTCACAAGTTGAAATGCATTATTAAGATGATAAAAATTTATAAGTAAATGGATACAATTATTTGACATTAAGCATTGTAAAACTGTACACTTGAGCTCGAACTGTAAAACTCCTACAGTAACAGTTAAAAAGTATATTCAAATTTAAGAACTGTGTTATAAATTTAAACCTGATTATTTCTTACATAATACAGTAGCCTGTAATTGGACTACTCCCATCAGATAATTCAGTTTTAAGAAAACATAATTTGGCAATGGACTGGGATATATAATGGCTGCTTCTATGTACTATTCTGCTTGAGTGCATGTTGTCATGTTTGATTCTTTGTGACACCAAGGACTGCAGCCCTCCAGGCTCCTCTGTCCATGGAAGTTTCCAGCAAGAATACTGAAGTGAGTTGCCAATTCCTCCTCCAGATCTTCCTGACCTAGGGATCAAACCCAATTCTCCTGTGTCTCTTGCATTGGCAGGCAGATTCTTTACCACTGACCCACCAGGTGTTTAAATGTTTCTGGGAGGAAAACCTACTTTATCAAAATGATAGCTTGGTGGTACATGCATTTCTCTACTCTTTGTCTGCAATGTCAGTTATACTGACTTTGCTGTTAACATAATATTTCATTACTTCCAATAGTGCTGATCTACACAAAACAAATGACACACCCTCATTGTCTTAAACTAATGTCAGCCATGCAGTCTCCTGAATAACAACTTTTAACTTTGTTAGGGAAATTAGGTGTGACAGCAATGCAGATTTCCCTTACAGAGCAATAAATAAAAGCTTGTTTTACTTTGGTTAGGCTATGTGACTTCAAAAAAACAAAATTTAAAAATATCCCATAAAATGGTTATTTTCTACATTCTATAGATGTTCTGAAATAAAGGTTTTAGTCAGTACTTTTTATACATACCAGAAGATGGAATGTAAACAGAATTTCCACCTGAAGGTGGAAGATTAACTATATTAATTTAGATCCACAAAATTTATTTTCTAAGTGTGAATGAGTGTTATGCATTTTTTCTGTTTCTTTCTATAAAAATGAGATTTATTATTTGAACATCTGCTCTTGGATACATTCCTTACTCCTTTTCAGAGAATTAATGTGGTTTGCATCATTTCTCAGACAGCACTCTTGGTGTCTCTTTCTTTCATCTGGACTGGTGTGAGTCCTGACCTTTGTAAGGTCTGTATAGACCCAGGAATCTTAAAGCAAAGTACACTCTAGCTAGCTCTGTAGAGAAACACAAGTGATGTTCTGTTCGTCTTGGTCACATTTCTGTCTTACATCAGAAAGTTTTGGTTCATATTCTAATCAACAGAAGTGATATTTTTTATGTCTTATCAGTCATTTTATTTTTTACTGTAAAAGTACATTTAATTAGAAAGTTACTTGCTCACCTATTTTCTGTATTGAAATCTAATTCTGTAGTTTCTTTTTTATACTTTCCCTTGTGTACAGGAATAATAATAATTACATTTACACTTGTTAGATGTAGCAACTAGTTTAAATGCACACATAATTTATTCCTCACAACAGTTTTATGAAATAGATATTCTTATTATGTCTCAGATTAGGAAGCCAAGATAGGAAAAGGATGACTAACCACTCCTAGGATACAGACCAAGTAAATGGTAAACTAAGGATTCATATTCAAGCAGCCTAATTTGAGTTCGTATCTTTTAACATTTATTTTATGTCTCACATAGCATTTTTACTACTTTCTTCATTAAAACTACATATAACATAAAATAAAAGTAATTTTTCCAAACAACTGATGGTGAACTTCAGTTCAGTTCAGTTTAGTCACTCAGTCGTGTCTGGCTCTTTGTGGCCGCATCGACTGCAGCTGGACTTCCCTGTCCGTCACCACCTCCTGGAGCTTGCTCAAGCTCATGTGCATGGAGTCGGTGATGGCAGGGGCACTGAAAGACCTCTCTATCTGCCAGTAATGCTTTGAGCTCCATTATGGCTGCTGACCCCTGTGACTTAAGTGGCAGAGTGGTTTCAGCTGGTGCCCCTGGGCCCCCCCGTCTGCCGCAGTCTTCTGCTGCCTGTGGACGTTAAGCTGCAGCTCGGTGTTGAATGTTCTCTGACTCTTAACGAATATCGGATGTACATGTGAGTGGAAGTAGGATGTTTAAATCATTTTGCTGCTGCTTCTTCTTCTTGTTTATTTTCCTATTCCTGTTCATCATGAGGCAAGATGTTCTGACCTACCAAAGCACAAAGTCAGGCACATATGACAGAGCTCCATTCTCAAATGGAAGTGGGGATGAAGGAGGCAGAGCTTGAGCAGGGCTGAGGGAAAAGTAGCTTGTGTGAGGAAGTAGCTCACATCCCCATGGCTCCTACTCATATATCACATTCTTGGGCCCAGTAAAGACAGTACTGCAGGATATAAAGAGCCACCCAAAGCTGACAATCGTGGCCATCTAATTTCTGTCTGGGGGTACCTCTAAAGGACAGGGGTGAATGGAGACTCTCCCAGGAGGCTTCTAACAGAGCATGGCCAAGAGCAGACCTCAGCACAGCCATGTCTGTGAGCTATTACTCTGCACCCTGTTCCCAGGCAACAAGTCCTGTTCAGCCATTTGCAATGGGCTCCTCCCCCAAGGAAGCAACTGTCAGTGAGTCACTGTTAGTGGGGGTATTCAGCCAAGGTCAGTGGAGCAATGATCCTAAGGAGGACAGTGAGGTGAGTGTCGACCCGGCCTTCCCTCCAGGGTGCTCCAGTTCATCCAGCCTCAGACCAGCGGTGATCTGGGGTTCCAGGCGACGCTGGGGGCTGTGTCCTGCTGACCTCTCGAGCCCTTGCTGTGGCCCCCACTGGCCAGGCCCAGGCCTTTGGGAGGCAGTGACCCTCTCCCCGCCTCTGCCGCGTCCTGGCAGCACCGTCCACCTGGGGTGCCATCTTCAGGACCTGCTCCCACACCCCCTACCACATGGCCGGCCTGAGGAGCCTGAGGGCCAGTTGGGTTGGATGTCCGGCTCCCTCAGTGATGACGGCTGAGCAAGGTCTGAGGACCTGGCCCTGAGGGCACTGCCAGCTGAGCTCTGACTCAACCAGGACTGGACCGTGGAGGGTATGTCGTGCCTCAGGACCTGCCCTTTCTTGTCAGAACAGAGACTAACACTCAGGAGATATTTAGGGGAACAGTTAACTGACCATGACCTGACCTCCACAACAAGGGCTCTGACACCAAGATGTTTATAAACAACTCACCACGCCCCTGCCTCACCTTTCCAGGAAAGGGCTTCACTGAGAGCTTTCAGGAAGTTTGGGATTTTTAAGGGATGAGCCCCTCCTCTGCTTGCAGGGCCCTCAGTACATCTTTCTGGGCTCCACATCCTGACCTTCTGTTCTTGTTTAGGCTCCCTGTAAGTTGGGCATAGGGACTTGTTTTTCAGTAAAAGGCAGAGCTTCAGTCAGGGTAATTACCTGTTTGTTTTTGCCTATAAGGAGAGATGCCAAATGACCAGGTCGATATCAATTCATGAAATGTGGCCAGTGGTTTGGTGGAATGATCAGGGCACAATTGTAAGATTCATGAAAAAAGAGTCTTGAAGAGGGTGTATAGATAGATGTCTTTGGAAACAGGATAGGAAGATATTTGTGTTCCATGTGAATTAGTAAAAACCAAACCAACCAACCAAACAAACAAAAAAGCAGAGGGACTTTAGCAATCAAGTAACTAAGAAGGCCTCTACCATGAATGTCTGTCAGCATCCTGCTCAGCCACCTCTGTCTTTGCTCAGTGACTCATGAACAAAGCAGCCCTGGTGACAAGGATGGGATCAGCATGAGCTTAGCAATGCTGAATTCCACGCTCGAGGCTGCCCTGGCTGTAGACACAGTTGAGTGTCCATATCCCAACAGTGGAGACTGATGCTGAGTTCTCTGGGTGATCGGCCAAATACGTGGTGGCAGACTGACTACTGTATATGCCTTTCTTTAAAGAATTGGGCGACATCTTCCTTTTACTGAAAAATACACTTACTCAGAAAATGAATGTGCTTTCCTTGTCCACAGTGCTTCCCCCCAGACTATGATGACTGCTGTATCCACCATCACGGTTTCCCACACAGCTTTGCTTCTGGACTAAACACTGCAGAATTCCCTTTCTAGTGTTTCTACATCAGGTAGGCTGCAAGGGCTACACTCCTGTGAAACTTCATGGAGGCTTTGAAATAACTGTTTTATAGTGCAGACACACATACACACACCTCCTAATGACTCAGTTACACACTCATCTTTGCACTGCTGTGTAGGAATTTTTAAGCTGCAATGAAATTGATTTAATGAATCAGTCCTAAGCAGTTTTATTAAAAGATATATCATCTTGGGTGGGCCAAACTTAATTAATCAAAAGGCCTTTAAAAGAGGGTGTGTGCATGCTCAGTCACTACGCCGTGTCCGAGGCTTTTCTGACCCCATGGATGGAAGCCCACCAGGCTCCTCCGCTCATGGGGTTTCCCAGGCAAGAATCCTGGAGCAGATTGCTATTTCCTTTTCCAGAAGATCTTCCTGTCCCAGGGATCAAACCCAGGTCTCCTGCATTAGCAGGCAGCTTCCTTACCATTGAGCCACCTGGGAAATCCTGTTAAAAAAGAATAGACCCTTTCTATGTCCAGAGATTCCAGGCTTCAGTTCATATAGTTTCCAGTCATGATTTTAAGCTTCTGACTGTATGCCTTGCCAACATTCTCTTCTTTAATCAGCGACCAGAAATGGGTGAACCAATCCCTTGTAATAAGTATTGCTTCTTTTATTGAATTTCTGTGCACATAAGTAATTCATGTTATTGGAGATTATTTCCTAACACCACAAAAGCACTTTTATTAATTATATTTTGTTATTTTTGATTATAATTTTTACAACTGATGGACCAATGTTGTCACATGATTGTTAAGTAAGCACCATAATTTATGTTAGGCATCACTCTTCCTGTTGTACAGTTCTATGGGTTTTGACAAAAGCATCATGCCATGTGTCCACCATTGTAATATTGTATAGATAGTTTTAGGACCCTAAAGACCCCTGGGCTCCACTTATTCATCCCTCTTTCTCCTCCCCTTCCACCAAACTTCTGGGAATCCCTGATCTTTTCAGCACCTGTAGAGCTTTGCCTTTTCCAGAATGTAATATAAGTGAAAACATCCCTTTTTATTCAGGATTTTGAGAATGACTAATTTCGCTTAGTAATAGCTTTTTAAACCTTCTCCATTTCTTTCAAGGCTCAGTACCCATTTCTTTTACTTGCCAATTAATAATCTATTGTATGAATGCATCAAAGTTTATTCACTTATTGAAGGACAACTTGATTACTTCCAATTTTTGGCAATTATGAATAAAGTTGCTCTGAACATCTGTGTGGAGGCTTTCATGTTTTCAGTGCATTTGGATAATTCACTAGGAGTGTGACTGCTGTATAATGGGAGGTAGCCTATATTTAGCTTCATAAGAAGCCCACAAAGTGCTTGTACCATTTTCCATTCCAACAGCAGTTAATAAATTGGGTTCCTGTTGCTCTGCATCTTCCCCAATATTTGGGGTTTTCTGTTTATTGGAGTTTAGCCACTCTGATAATTGTGTAGTGGTGTCTCCTTTTAAAGAAATGAATTTTTCATTCATTCTTGCTTTACTTTAGACCTTATTTTTGTATTTATTTATTTAGTAGTGGAGCTATAGTGTAGTACCTGAAAACTTTAATCCTAGAACCAAGTTTCTTAAGTTCAAATTCCAACTCTATCTTTTACTCCTTGGGTGACATAGGTTAGCTACTTAATATGTGCTTCAGGAACCTTATGGGTTTCCACAGTAAAGAGCTCAGATGCTAAAGAACCCTCCTGCAGTGCAGGAGACCTGGGTTTGTACCCTGGATCTGGAAGGTCCCCTGGAGAAGGGAATGGCAACGCGCTCCAGTATTCTTTGGTGAATCCAGTGTACAGAGATTTTATTCCATGGGGTAACAAAGAGTTGGACAGGAATGAGCGACTTTCACTTTTTTTCAGTAGCCTTAAGGATAAGATATACCTCGCAGACTTGTTACAATAATTAGGCTTAGATTATTATGGAACATATAAATATCAATGAGTATCTGGCCTGTCCTAAACTCTTTTATTATTTAATTGTATAAAATAGCTTCATTTTTTTGTCAGGAGGAAAACATTTAGAATGTAAATAATTCCAAATATTGACAGAATAATGGTAATTATTTTAATTTTAAAATAAGATTATTTTCACATAATGATAACATCCCTCCATTGCTGCAGCATTACCATATTCAGCTATCACTACACTATTTAAATTGTAATTCAGGAACATCACAGTTGTAGGTCTTTTCACAAACCTTCAGTATTGAGAAGGGCAGCCTAAAGAATTCTTATTTATTTATTTAATGCAAGGGAGAAGGATACATTTTAACCACCACTATTTTGTAATTTTGTTTGGTCATGGTTTTGACTTGATGAAACTGAGTTCAGTATAATAAATGAAGTTGCATCTTCAAGATTTTGATCCTATGTTTATTGTTAGCTATTCAATAAACTGAACTCTGAAAATTTCAGTTCTCTCTAGAAGATGCCACAGCTAACCATCTTAATTTCAATATATAAGCAGATTTTTATTTGTACTCTGATTCATCTACCACAACTGAATAGCCTGTGGCCTGACCCTAGGAGGGCACAAAGGTCAGAGACAATTAATTACAAAAGTGTGTCTTCTGTTTTAACTTTCTAATGGAGAGTAACTGTAAGTCACTTAAGCAAGGAACTGACTGATGTTTCATGGCCTTGAAAAATGTTGCCACCTCAGTTCAAATTAACGGTCTAACAGCTTTGACCATTTTGGCAGAGCTGTCAGTAGTTACATGTCCTAAATATGGCCAGTTTCATATGAGCATTGTTAAGACATTCTAGGTCTTCCTTAGTGGTCCAGTGGTTAGGACTCTGAAATTTCACTGCCCAGGCCCAGGGTTCAGTCCTTGGTTAGGAAACTAAGATCCTGCAAGCCACAAGGTGTGGCAAGAGAGAAGAAAATAACCCCACCTCCCTTCGGAAATATTGTTAAAACTCAGAACTAAGTTGTGCTGGTCGGGGACATCATATTTAAGAGTTTTTCTATTACATCAAAATTTTCATTGACACCACCAAATTTTAGAGCTAATTGGATTTTATATATATATATATATATATATATATATATATATATATATATATATATTTACTGCATATATAGTTTTACTATATATATTTATGTCATAAATGGCTTAACTTTTTCATAGACTTTGTCCTGTGAATTTTCAGTCTTATCATGACACTGAGTAATGCTGTTTGTCTTCAATAATGTTATATTTTGTTGTGGAATGTGTTGCATAATTTTTCTCCCACATTCAAGAAATAATCCCTTATAAACTTTCCATTCCTAAAAAAATTTAATGAACAGATGTTATTTTTCAATTCCTGTGCAATTAGCTTTTATAGAATAATTATTTATTATATTTTTAATATTGATATTTCATAAATCAGGGGAATTTCCAACTATGGTGAGGAATACCACTGGAAAAAGCAAAATTAAAAAAGTAATCAAATAATAATTCGTTGTACTATGCTATGCTCTGATCTTGACAGTGCAAAGCCCATTTCTAAGGAAAAAATTAATTTCAACAACACTAATATCTTTAAGGTAAATATTTCCCTTAAACTTGCCTTATCATACAACCATACAAAAAGTAGATAGATTAAAAAAAAAAGTCAGAATTTTTTATCTGATTGATCAGAGCCAAAGGGCCAGTGATTCTTTTTTTTAGCATTGCACTAATGTGCTACAGTCCATGGTGTCACAAAGAGCAGGGCATGACTGGGCGACCGAACAGCAACCACCACACACATTTATTCAGCAGCTGACAGGTGTTAGGCACTCGTCATTTGGGAGCTAGAAGAGTAAACAAACATAAAGGCCCCGTTATCTCGTTGTATAAGAATTATTTTGACAAGA